TGAATATTGAAATAAAAGCCCTGGTAGAAAATGATACATATGAGCTTGTACCAAAACCAAACAATAGACAAATAGTGGGGGAAAATGGGCTTACACAATTAAGACAGATCAAAACGAGGCGGAAACGTATAAAGCCAGATTTGTAGCCAAAGGTTACTCTCAAGTGCATAAAATTGATTTGCACCATGGAAACATTTGCACGCAAAGCACGTATGAGTTCAATTCGCACATTACTACAACGCACCTATTTGAACGCACCTATTGATTGTGAAATTTTCATTGATCAACCAGAAGTCCAGAAGGCTATGAAAAGTCAGGTGAAAACGGTGAAAAATTAGTTTGTAAATTGAAGAAATCACTTTACGTCTTAAGCAAAGCGGCAGGAATTAGAACAATTTGTTGCATGAATTTTTAGTAAAAGAAAATTTTGTTCAATCACTTGCAGATCCATGTTTATATGTTCGTACTATTGATAGTGAACAATGTGTTATTGTCATAATTTGGGTGGATAACATCATTGTAGCTTCAAGCGACATTCAATCTTTAAACAGTATAAAAGATTCTTTGAGCAATCGATTCAAAATGAAAGATCTAGGCGAACTAAAATGGTTCTTAGGAACAAAATTTGAAAGAAGTGAAAATTGTTATAAGATGAATCAAACACGGTATATTCAGAAAGTTCTTTCAAAATTTAAAATGTCCGATTGCAAACCAAAACCGACACCCTGTATTTTAAGAATTGAAAAAGTAGCTCTCACGAAATTCTAAAGTGCGCATAAGTAAGGCCATAGGTAATTATCAGTTTAGGAATAATAATAATTATAATAAAAAAAATAATAAAAATGTAGGATGCTTAGAACATAAGAGCAAGTGGGGGTGTTAAAATATGCTCTCATATTCTTCCTGTCATTAGTAAATAATTAAAGGGGAAGTCAGACCCCAAAAAAACTTTTTATGAAATGAAAGATTTTATTTTTATAAACCATATTCCAAAGTTTGAAAGCTCCAATCAAAATTATACCGGAGATATGAAACCACAAAATCATGAAATTTTGCTGTAAAAGCTGCAGCCATTGTATACATGCGAGCGAAGCCGCGATCGAGCAGCGGCTTCCGTTCTTGACGTCACTGCGCGGTGAGCGCGATAGCGCTCAAAATTTCATATACAAAACAAACACAAAGTCTTCGATGCGTATTTCTTTCTCGATATTTATTTTCCTTTCTTTATAAATATGCCTTACTGTATGGTACCCGGTTGCACTAATTGTTCAAAAAAAACCAAAGGAAGTGAAATATCTTACCATCGCTTGCCAAATGATCAATATATTCGTAAAATGTGGCTAGGGCGAATTCGACGTGATAATTTGCCTAAACCTAATTCATGCTATGTGTGCAGCGCGCATTTCACGCCAGATTGTTTTGAAGGTTCCCTGAAAGATTTATTTGGAATGAAAGCAAAAAAAGCATTAAAACCTGGTAGTGTCCCTTCAATATTCCCCTTTCTAAAGCGTAAACCAGAGCGGGAATCCTCAAGTAAGAGGCAGAAAAGAAAAGCGATGCAAGAGGTAGCCCATTAATGTTATTTTTACTGAATAATTTTTGATATTAGTTATCTTGAGCATGAATAAGTATGTATTGATATATATAAGTGAGATCATTATATTAAAATTTTCTTTTGAACATTACACTTGAAACATTTTTAATTAAATGAATCTAAATTCCACAATGTGCAGGAATTAGCCAGTATGCTTGAACAACCCAGTGATGCTGAAGACTCTTCACTCACATTGTCCATGACCATGACTGAGATAGAGCCAGAAATAGATACTTCAGCTGGAAGAAGTGTGGCAATACTATGTGATAGTGATACTCCAAGTAGTGTTGATGCTGAAACACAGTGTGAAAAGATTTCAACACGCAGTATTGCAGTTCAGACACTGGCACAGAGGAAAAGCCAAGAAGGAAAATAAAATACAGTAACTTTTCAAAACCTCTAGTCCCATGAACAATAGTGCACATTCAATGTCAAACCTACCATTAGCTTTGTTGTTATACCACCAATCATGCATGACATCACCCAGATTGAGAATGCATCATGTGGGAAGATAATTGTTCAGAGCATGAGGAGACTGTGAATACCATAGATAAAAGCTCAACTGAAAGTGATCTGTCAGATGGTAGTGATGAAGATTATGTGTGTTCTTCACCAAGTTCCAGCAATGAATCGGATGATGATAAGCAAAACACAGAGAGAAAATTCATTGTTTTTGAAAGAAAGCTAGATGAGTTGTTCATATCATGCAAATTTTGTTCTTCCATATGTGAGATTGAAAAATCTACAGTGGGTAGCATGGTGATGTACAAGGCAATTTGCCACAAAAATCATATCTTCAAGTGGAAGTCACAGCCTATGTTGCACAATAAACCAGCTGGAAATGTTTTGATACCAGCAGCAACAATCTTTACTGGTTCAACATATGAGCCATTGAAGCAATTTGCAAATGCTTTGAACTTAGGTTTTGTGAACAAGGACCAGTTCTATAATATGCAGGATGAAATTGTCTTTCCAGTGATTAATAGCACCTATAGAAAACAGCAAAAAACTATAATAGAAAAATATACCAAGGCAGACATACCAATAGATTTATGTGGTGATGGAAGATGTGATAGTCCAGGTCACAATGCAAAGTATGGCACATACACGCTGATGGAAGAAAACAGTGGAAAATTGTTGATTTTTCTTTGATACAGGTATCTGAAGTGTCTTCTTCCAATGCAATGGAGAATGAAGGTTGCCAGAGATCTTTGAATAATGTCATGGGTGAAAAAATCCAAATTAGATCATTGACCACAGATCGCCACATCCAAATAACATCAGAGCTGCGGAAAAAATATCCTCATATTATTCACCAATATGATGTATGGCACTTATCTAAATGGATAACAAAAAAGCTTACCAAAAAAGCAAAAAAACATGCTTCCCTTCAAAAGTGGATTCAGTCAGTGTCGAACCATCTGTGGTGGTGTGCGCAAACATGTGAAGGAAACGCTGATATTCTATGTGAAAAGTGGGTGTCTATTTTGAATCATGTTATAAACATACACCAATGGAAAAGTGGTAAGTATTTTAGGAAGTGTTCACATGAGAAGCTTTCTAGGAGCAGAGAAAGAAAGACAAAATGGTTAACACCAGGGTCTGCAGACTACATTGCCTTAGAAGATGTCGTTTTGAACAAGAAATTGTTGAAAGACATAACAAAACTTACAGAATTCCATCACACTGGCAACCTGGAAGTGTACCATTCATTATTATTGAAATATGTTCCAAAACGCCTTCATTTTTCATACAATGGCATGGTTGCAAGAACCCAATTGGCTGTGATTGATCATAATTCAAACACTGAAAGAAAACAAGCTCAGCTGAAAATGGCAATTCCAAACAAAATAGTTTTTCCAAAAGGCCGTAATAAATGGATAGCCAAACCAATAACAGAGAACAAATCATTTTCCTTTGTGCAAAGCCTAATGGAAAATGTTGCCTCATATGACCATCAAATTCCAACAGCAAGGTTAAGTAACATTCCCAAAACATTGTAAATGTACCCAAGCCAAGTAAAGAGGAAGTGATATATGCTCATAGGTCAAGGATGGGCAAGAAAAAATAATGAAACTATACCTGCATCACTCATCAGCAAATTCAAAACCTTTAAATACAAAATCTTCTTCTAGACCAGGTGGAGGGAAATGTGCCCGAATACAACAAACAGCACAAGATGGCAAAGGATTCCTTATTTCTTTTCCCAAAATTCCCCAACACCATCTTACAAATTGTCTGTAAGCAGCATGCCTTTGCCTCTTATGCTCTGGTCCTTCAAAAGCACTTTTCCTATACTGCTGCTTGTATTGACTCCACGCCAATCTCAATACCCAGAAATTTAAACATAAATTTTGGAATACAGGGTTGTCAGTGATACATTCTGGAACATCAATACCCTCGAATTCAGCTGACTCTTCATTAATATCCCTGCAAGCAGCAATCTCTTTGCAACATATACATTCTTCATGTCTGTCCATTATTTGACAATGACCGCATGTACACCTTGAAAGAAGAAAGTCATTTACGGATTTGACTTTGTTTGATGAATATTACCAGTACTTATCTTGAAGTCTATTTGAGCCAGATTCAATTGAAGACTCAGCACTCGTTCCTTGCGAATCGTCTTCGGTGTCGCTACTCGCTACCCAAGTCGGTTTCAACCGGTTCATATGAGTAAGGCTGAATCATGTTTTCGTACGCCATTATTTGCTCATTTTCCGGAAATGTATCACTCACAACAGAGTGATCACTTGAAAATTCGTATGAATCATTCGTATCCATCACGTTATTTATTAAGCAAGTTTAAAATGATAAATACAGAGAGCTTTCACAAATGATTATGTGTTATGTGATGCTGATTGAAAGTTCCTTACCGCGCAGTGACGTCAA